CCCCCCCCCCCCCCCCAGTAACTCTGCTTCTGGTACTGCTGCCACCCACCCTGAATGCAGCCTGGCTCAGCGTCCCCTCCTCAGAAGAGCCTGGCACTTGTCCCAGCCCACAGCAAGCTGCAGCCTGCCTTGCCCTACACAGATCTGGGGCACATGTCTCCCATGCCTCCTGGGGTGCGTGTAGCAGTAGGAGCCACAGCTCAGTCCCGCACCCCACTGGCTGCTCAGTGCCTGCCCCAGGCCCAGACCCACTCCCTCCCCACCCCTGCTGCAGCTGCCCGAAGCCTGCCACCGGGCTGTCTTGCGGCCCTGCTGCTGCCCTGCGTTTGTGGGGCCTAAGCCCTGTTAGGCCCCACCCCCTTCTGCCACCTGTGCTCCTGAGTCATATTTTCCTATTATCTGTTTAGGATTTTTGTCCCACTGAGGTTGTGTGGTTCTGAGGAATGTGTGCAAATATTTCTGTATCGTGTCATCTGTTGCTGTCCCCTGGGTGGAATGAAGATTGAGAGCACCAGAGTCAGATTTTTGGGGAAACAGACTGGCTGTGAGATTTGGGATTTGGTTTTTAGATTTGGGCTTAACTTCTTAATGTGCCTTTCCTATGCTCTTAAAGGTCACTCCCTCTGTATCTGACATATGGAGAGGAGAAAGTGCAAAAGTTTCTGCTCTGAACACGGTTTAGCTCTTCTGTGTTGGAAAGCTCTCGGGACTGAGAGAGGCTGCAGTTTTGTCCTCATTATCATCTACAGAAAGTTTTAGAAATGCAGGGTGAAAAAGGTAGCGTTTGGGGTACTTTGGTTAGGGTGAGGGATGACATCCATCATGGGTCTGGGTAAAGGAAGAGGCCATGCTCCAGAAGGAGGGTGAGCGGTCTCGGGGTTTTGCAGGTTTCAATGCACAGGACATATCTGTGTTGCTATGGGTGCAGAGAGAATGGCTGCTCGAGGGAGCCAGAGGTCCTGGCCTCTTTCAAACCAGCTTTACAGCTCATTGTTTCTCTGACACTTTCTATTCTTATCTTTCCCCTCTATAGAAAATCCACCCCTGAAGCGAAAGAAAGGCCCAGCCCCCAAGATGCTGGGAAATGAAGTGTGCAGTGTGTGTGGAGACAAGGCCTCTGGCTTTCACTACAATGTGCTGAGCTGCGAGGGCTGTAAGGGCTTTTTCCGCCGCAGTGTCATCAAGGGTGCCCAGTACATCTGCAAGAATGGTGGCAAGTGTGAGATGGACATGTACATGCGCCGCAAGTGCCAGGAGTGCCGTCTACGCAAGTGCCAGGAAGCAGGAATGCGGGAGCAGTGTGAGTGCAGGCTATAGGGGCAGTGAGGTTGCAAGGAGTGGGGCATGTGGGAAGCATGCAATAAGTGTACAAAACTACAGTACATCAGTGGTTCAGAGACATCCTGCAATCAACTGTAATACCTCTGTTGTTTCCAGGCCATGGACAGTTGACATAAGAGAGGACTTCTCACTTTTATTGCATCCTATAAATGCATAGTTCTGTACTGTTTACAATTACATTTCATCCCATTTCTGTTAACTACCCCATTCCTCAGCATTATCCAGTTCTTTCTGTAGGATATTCTAATCCTTCTTTGGGTTGACAATGCCTCCCAACTTCAGCTATCACTCTTCGTTACCAGTTCATTAATGAAAATATCAAATAAGATTGGTCCCAAGACTGATCCTTGAAAAACTCAGTAAACTTCCTTCAACCAGAGTTCTCCTTTCTGTACAACCTGTTTGCCTCCTCTCTAGCTAGTTCCTTATCCACCCCACAGTTCTTATACTAATCAGCTTCTTCTCCATTTTGACTAATAATTTTCCATATGGAACTATATCGGATGTTTTCCTGAAGTCCAGACAGACTAAATCTACTGCATTTCCCTTGTCTAGAAAATTCATTTTCAGTTATTTTATCCATGGGTTAGTCTGGCTTTTCTCCCCTCTGCAAAAAACAAAACAAAACATTATATTTTGTCCCATTTTCCATATGCATACATATTTTTTATTTTTCTCTTCAAAATTTATTCTAAAGCCTTTCATACTGTTTAGAACAAATTTAAGATGAACAGGCCTGTAGTTGCTTCTTTGGCTTTTTTCCCTCTTCACTATTCGGGCATGTGGCACTACCTCCAATTTGACAATTTTTGTTAAAAATCTTTTGCTATTGAATCTGTGATTTTTGTGGCATGTGGCATGTCTTTTGGAGTTCTGGGGCGAAGGTTATCTTACACCCTCAGTTTGAGCACATGGAGCTCTTTGAGTTTTGCTTCTGTCTTGCAGTGTGTCAGGTGTATTTCCAGAGCCTCATACCCATTTTAGCCATCCTACCTTGCTTCCACGGTCAACATTTGTCCTAACTGGAATAAGATATTAATATAGTTTTGGGGACATATTAAGATTATTTTTTTTTTTAATCCTGACCCTATCCTTGTTGCATAGTGGCCCTTGATTCCTTGTTCTCTGTGTATTAATATGGTTAAAGAGTTATAACTATGGTCACTTCCTTTGCACTGTCTAATTTTGACAATTCATATTTATCCTTACGCTTTCTGATCTTGAAGACGCACAGTTCTGTAGTGGTCAGTTCCTTTTTTCCCTTTGTAGGCTTTTTTGTGTATCCTTAATACCATTCTTGAGGTTATCTATTTCTTCCAGTTGTTGTATTTCGAACCTTTCCCAAGTTTATTGTCCTTTGCTTCAAATAAAAGCTCCAGGTAATTTGGGTACCTTTTGATTAGAAGTTCTAAATCTCTTCTGCAAGTCCTTTGGGCTCATCAGCCCAGCTGACTTTTACTAACTAGTTTCTCAAAGGCTGCCTTTTTTGGAATAAAAAACATGAGTTACGTACAAAATAGATTTGCATGTCCTTCCATTTACTGTAATCTGGACCAATTTGTGATCACTAGATCCAAAGTTATTTTATATCTGCTTCCTCTATAAGCATCTCTCTTCTTACTAGAGCTAAGTCTGAAATAGCATAATAGAATCATAGGGCTGGTTGAGACCTCAAGGGTCATCTGGTCCAACCCTCTGCACATGTGCAGAATTTGCTTTTGTTAAACTCTCACAGATGGGTATCTATCTTCTTGCAAACCTCCAGTGAAGAAGGTTTCACAAGATGCCTGAGCAGTATGTTCATTGGCCTACTGTTAGTGGGCTGCATCAAGGATTGTCCTCCTATGCTTGGCCCACTTCATTCCTGCCTATGGAGGCTAGAGAAAAACACAGACAGATACAAGTGACTAATAAAGCAAAATCAAGGAAATAACCGTGACCAGCAATAACACTTAATCTACTCCCACCCACAAATACAATCCTGTGCAAATAGGACAGTGTTCATGACAATTAGTTTAAGAATCTGTTGGGAAGGGCTCAGGGGAAAGCTGGTGGGATGGTTGTAGCACTAGTGTGGATAGCACAAAGGTAGTACCTGCCCTTTGTGTTGAATGTGTGGATTATTTTGCAGGACAGAGCTGTTCAAAACAATCAATGGGACAAACTAGAACCACAAAGGCAGGTTTAATATGATGTTATCTGCTATTGCCTATTACCTATATTACATGCATTGCAATATACTACATAACTGTAGAATGCATGCATATGCAAAAATACCTGTTACTGTCACCCACAGTAGTGTCCTTTCTGTTTCCCAGGATTTGGCAATGGAGTCCACTGTGTTCCTTTTGCTTCTGGTGTCAGAGTTTGCTTTTACTGCTGCCTCTTTTTCTCTCTCTCCCCTAGGTGTTCTGTCTGAAGAGCAGATCCGGCTGAAGAAGCTTAAGAAACAGGAAGATGATCAGGCACGGACTGTTGTTACACGCCCAAACCCCCCGCAGACTCCAAGTACCTCATACAAACTGACCCCTGAACAGTTAAACATGATAGACAAGCTTGTGGCAGCTCAGCAACAGTGTAACCAGCGCTCCTTCACAGATCGGCTCAAAGTGACGGTATGGGCTGAAAGAGTAGACTCAAAATTAGAGACCGAAAGTGGAGGCTGGAACTGTGGGTTGTACATGTGGGAAGACCAAGGGCAAGAGTTGTGGAGTATGTTTTATGGTAAAATGGCAGATAGGGGCTTCTCAGTAACTTCTGTGCCGCCGCCTTTATTTCTCTTCCTTTTTGTCTTTTGTATTATCTCTTTCTTTCTCTCACACACAAGCATTCCATCTCCTACTTGTTTTGTCTCTTTTCTGCTCCTACAGCCGTGGCCACAAGTTCCAGACCCTAATAACCGTGAGGCAAGGCAGCAACGTTTTGCTCATTTCACAGAGCTTGCAATCATCTCTGTGCAGGAGATTGTGGACTTTGCCAAGCAGCTGCCTGGCTTCCTGGAACTCACCAGGGAAGATCAGATTGCTCTGCTGAAGACGTCCACCATAGAGGTGAGAATCCAGCCCCAGCCAGTTGAAAAGAAAAGGATCCAATCCCCCAACCAGAGAACCCCTTCTTCTTTTGGTTTCAGTAGCTTCTCTGGGGAAGGAAGAAGTGAGAAACCAGCATTCCAATGCTAGCATCTCTTAGCATAGGGCACTGTAGAGAATAAGGCAGGACTATTTTTTGAAGAGCTTCTAGCTACTACAGTTACAGACTGTTGACAGGGACCGTTGCAGCAGATGAGGCAGCATTTGCTTTCTAAGTAAAAGGTGTGCACCTTAAGGGTAGTTAGGTGCTTTAGGACCTGATAATCTATAGATCTGAATGCCTTCCCTACTTCTGTTTTACTGAATGTGTCTCAATGGGTCCATGTGTTTCAGGTGATGCTGCTGGAGACATCTCGGCGCTACAATCCAGAGATCGAAAGCATCACCTTTCTTAAAGACCTGAGTTATAATCGGGATGATTTCGCCAAAGCAGGTGGTGCATTAGACAGGTGTTTTTTTTTCTTTTCCTCTGTCTTTCTTTCCCTCTGGATCATTGGGTTTAGAGGGTAGTAGTCAATGGCTCAATGTCTAGTTGGCAGCCAGTATTAAGTGGAGTACCCCAGGGGTCAGTCTTGGGGCCGGTTTTGTTCAACGTTTTGATCAGTGACCTGGAAGATGGGATGGAGTGCACCCTCGGCATGTTTGCAGATGTGGGGGGAGGTGTAATAGATATCTAGAGGGTAGGGCTAGGACTCAGAGAAACCTCATCAAATTGGAGGATTGGACCAGAAGAAATCTCAGAAGGTTCAATAAGGACAAGTGCAAAGTCCTGCACTTAAGACAGAACAAACCCATGCACTGCTACAATCTGCAGACCAACTGGCTAAGCAGCAGCTCTGCAGAAAAAGACCTGGAGGTTACAGTGGACATTAAGCTGAATATGAGCCAACAGTGTGCCCTAGTGAAGAAAGCTAATGGCATACTGTTCTGCATTAGTAGGCATGTTGCCAGCAGATTGATGGAAGTGATTCTTCCCCTCTTTCTGGCACTGGTGACGCCACATCTGGAATAGTGTGTCCAGTTTTGGGCCCTCCAGTACAGAAAGGATGTGAACAAATTGAAGAGAGTCCAGCGGAGGGAAACAGAAATGGTTAGGGGGCTGGAGGACATGACTTCTGAGGAGAGGCTGAAGGAACTGAGCTTATTTAGTCTGGAGAAGAGAAGACTGAGAGGGGATTTAATAGCAGCCTTCAACTACCTGAAGGGTGGTTCTAAAGAAGATGGAACTAGATTGTTCTCAGTGATGGCAGAGAACAGAATAAGGAGCAATGGTCTCAAGCTGCAGCAAGGGAAGTTTACGTTAGATATTAGGAAGAACTTTCTCACTAGGAGGGTAGTAAAGCACTGGAACAGGTTACCCAGAGAGGTGGTGGAATCTCCATCCTTGGAGGTTTTTAAGACCTGGCTAGACAAAGCCTTGGGTGGGGTGATCTAGTTGAGGGTGGTCCTGCTTTGAGCAGGGGTTGGACCATACTTCCTAAGGTCCCTTTCAGCCTTAATTTTCTATGATGCTATGGTATATTTTTCTATCTCTTCCTTTCTTGTGCTAGCTTTTGGACTCTGGGTTGGTCTAGGACAGGGTATCAGACATGCAGCCCATGGGCCACATTCAGCCAGTGGAGGTAACTTTTCCGGTTTGCAGCGCTTCACTGTAGCTGCCAGCAGCAAAGGAGTTAATGCTATTGCTGCTCAATCCTTCATTGTAGGGCCAACTCCCAGAGGGCAAATGCTGCTGCAGAATTTAATGTTTTAATTTGCTGCTGAAGACTAAAATCAGTGGTAGTTGGTGACAGGGGTTGATCAGTGGCATTGTTAACTCTCTGGCTGCTGGCTGCACTGACACTGTGGCTCATGCACCTGTGGTAGGGGAGACTGGGGGTGAGCATCAGCGGCACAAACTCCTTGGCTGTATAGCTGCAGCAAGAAGCCTTGTGGGCCAGATTCTGTGGTAGTTTACCCCTTTTTTTTGTGAGAAGCCCCATTGTCAGGGCCAGGCCTTCCAACACATTCGATTTTGACACTTCTGGTCAAGGGATTAAGGCAGGGATTGGCAGCATTTTGGGAATGGTGGGCTGAAATAATTCAGCTCATTCCAAGGCAGACCGGCCCTTCCAACCTAACTGCTGCTATTACTTCTCCCTGCTGTCTGGCTGCCAAAATACTGCAGAAGCCTGAACTTTGTGGGTCAGAAAGAATTGATCTGCAGGCTGGATTTGGCCTCAAAGACATGGGTTGCTAACCCTGGTATAAAGGGTTTATAACAGGGACCCACCAGTATTAGCCTTTAGTACCTGAACTAAGCTGCCAATATGTTATTTTAAAAGATCAGAAAAGAAATCAGGAAGCAAAACTGCAATGGTCTCCTAACGCCCTTCATTTCCACATTGTGGAATTATGTCTGATGGGCCAACTTGCCTCTGGTCTCCCTAAAGAAAGAGGAAAGGGCTTTCTATTCAACTCTTCCCAATGTTTTGTGGTTATTTCCAGCTACCTTAGTATGGGAATTCAATGGACTGTGTCAGTAATTCAGTTAAAATCCCTTTATTAAATCCTAAGGCCAGTAGCAATGATATAATTATGTTAAATGAGCATTCTGAAGTACTGTAATGAATACTAATCAGCACTGTTACAGCACTTCCTAATGATTGCACCCACACAATAAAATTATTTACACTGGTCAGATATGTACAATAAGATCAAGCCTGAGGGCTTGGTGATAGCTCATGTTCGAGTGGCTGCAATAGTTTCACTGGCATTAACCAAGAACTCCTCTGTCT